AGTTGCAAAAGTAACACTGTAATGTTATTCAATGAAAAGGAAAGATGCCAATGTTAGCACACACGGCATCATAATTTAGCAGAATGAAAAACCCAACTGTTGAGATTTTAATACCAATACAAATTTAAAGTATGGTAAATAAAACACAAACAAAAGCGCCTACCAACAAGCAGCTGAAAATGTATCTAAAGCAAAAAGGTCTTAAGATAAGTGGAAGCAAGGCTGAGTTGATTGATCGAGTTCTCACCCACCCACGCGGGAATCTTAGTGCCAGAGACGGTGTAGGAGATGAGAAATCTCCCAATTCATGCGAAGACGACACAAGCACAGAGTCCAGTGATTCTGATGACTCTTCAAATGACTCTCCGACGTATTCAAACTAAATATGAGGGAATCAATGGGAGGAGACTTTTTTCAAGGAAGGGGAGGGGGGGTAGCCTTAATATTATTATTATGTGACGGGGGGGTGAAATTAATTTCTGCTTAATGAGAAGGGGGTATGACTTAGTTTTGGGGCATATTTCACCCATTTCCCAGCCCCCTCCAGGTAATTATTGCACAGTCCTTTATGATGCTGTCACCACTGCGTAAATCATTTAGGGCCCTCCACTCATCTTTGCTGAGGATGTGCTTTTGTTTAGAAAAGTCATAGCAATAAATGTAATTGTAGGAAATATTTTTCAGTTGATTTCCTAGACGATCTGGATTTCGCTAGTTCAATGGAACGTTCAATTTAACAAAATCACGATAGAGAAGCTCAAAGAAACATGTAACATCATACCTGTCAACGTCTTTAGGAGGTAAACAGAAACGTAAACCACGTGCCAAAACGGTTTTCTCAGCTTCGGTAAGCACGCGATTGGAATAGTTGAAGATGATGTCGACGCTATTTAAATATGAAACTTCAGAAATTCCAAACTTTCGTTTGAGATTACCAATCTTCTTTTCAAGCTTGCTTGAATCCCGCTCCTTGATCTTGAAAGGCTTGTTTTCGATTACAGAGCAGACATGATTGAAGCAAACAGGCTACCCTCAGGGCATCATCACTTTTAATATCAATGATGTCCTGAACAAGAACAAAAACAAGCCAAATGAACCCGTAGCAACAGTCCCCCCAAAAAATGTTATTATTTTATTACCTTATATAGTTCTCCATAGCAATCATATTACTAAGCGTCTAAAATCTTGTGTTAATCGTTTCTACTCTACTGTTAATGTCAAAGTTATTTTTCAAAACACCCGGCGCATCAAATCATTCTTCCCATACAAGTACCGTCCCAACTGATCACAATTATCCAAAGTTATTTATAGAGCTAGTTGCTGGGACTGCAATTATTTTTACATTGGGAAAACGAAGCGAAGACTTCACGACCGGAAAACGGAACATTTCAAGGCCCTTTCAAAACATGATCACTCTTCTGCTATTGCTGATCACGTTAAAACAACTGGTCACAAAATCAAATGGGACTATTTTGACATTTTGGCGCCGGCAAGACTGACCACCATTGTAAGGTTAAAGAGACCTTGTTTATTCAGGAGTTGCAGCCAGCATTGAATGCCAATGTCAGCAGTGAAAAGCTTTTACCTTATTAGGAAAGCTTTTCCATTGTGTCACTTTACAGACAGTTTCCGTTTGTATACTTCTTAAATTTCTACTGCATATGTTTTCTGTCTAGGTTCCAGACCCCATTGATACAGTATAAATAGCTTTCCAAAAATTTTTTAACGTTTATACTTTTCAAAATGTATATCGACTAGCATACGAAACGTTAAGTTCATAAAATGCAGGTTTTTAAAATGTTTATCACCGCTGTTTGTTTTATATTTTTACACAAAACATAACAAGTAAAAACAATTTTATACAAGAAAAATTTCCACTTCGGTTAAGTTTTAATCCTGTAATAACCTTAAACGCCTTTAGAACAACCTGGCCCTGATTACAACAAGTTAACCTGGCTTGAGCCTGCGATCCAATCGAAAAACATCATTTGGCTATCGGTCGACTTAAAAAAAAATGTGATCTCGATGGGGTCATCTCGATGAGCTCTAAACTTGAGCCCGCGATATGGTTACGCTTATTCATCTCCCTCAAGAAGGAAATGAATACGCTGTAAACCAAGGCTACATGTCTCGGTCAATCACTCTGCTGCCGTCGTGCGTACGCGCCCACGAGCAATACCGTCAGCCATGATAACTATGAGAAAATCAATTCATGGGTTTCCTTTTCTTTCCTATATGAGTATGGTGCTCCGCTATTACTAATTAGCAATTATTTGACGAGGTTCAGCAAAATATCGTGATTTGTCAGTGACGAAACACGATATTCTGTAATATTTAGCCGAGTTCAATAATCGTTTTATCATTCAATCAAAGTCTTTTTATATTTCAATCACTCTCTGACAGCTTAGGGAAGCGATTTGTTATTTTTCACGCGAGAGAGTGGTTACAATTACGCATGAGCAGAATATTACTTGCAGCAAAACACATTTAGGCGGTTCTACGCATGAGCAGACCATTATTTGTAGGCAGTTATTCGCAGGTCATGTTGTGGACTCTCGGCCAATGAAAAGGAAGGAAAAATGCATCGAACGATAATTCAAATGATTTCATTCCCAGTGAACCCTACTAGTAACCAGTGGTAACAGAGGCTCTGCGACCGACTGATTGAGGTTTATCAGCAAAATTTTAGCAAGAGCGCTTTTGTGTTTTCATCGTAAAGCGCACAGCGTAACCATAAATAGTTTGTGTGCTCATCATTATCAAGCGTTTCTCTTCATGAGTAGTGCCTCACTTGGTCAAAGCGTCTCTGTAAAGTAACACTATCAAGCACATTTGTGGAGGGAAACGCACAGCTGCAGTTTACAGCGATACAATCGATTTACGTACTAAACTGGTGAGAGATTTATGAAACACAAACACATCATCCTATTTCTGTCTGCATTCTTAAGAATATTTGACAATGTTACCGACATCACTGACGTCAACCTGTTGTCTCTTTTGTTATCGGCAATAAGAATTAAACCGAGACTTAGCAGTCAACTTAATTTGGCCGCGGTGGACTAGAGGGCAATTAAAAGCTAGGGAATTGAAAAGGACTAATTGTACACAAAGTGTGTACAGCTGGTTCGCGGCGTTAAGACAGGATACTATATCTGGCTCCTGAAAAAACTTGTGTATACAATACAGCCCTTACGAAACTCAAGTCGATATCATGAACAAATCATCTTGTGAGTTACTGCTGCACTACTATCCCAAAGTCACCGATTTTGAAGAGCTTCGTTCGACTTACATCGCTAATTGTGTCCTCAACAACTTTCTGTCCTATACCGTCATCATGTTGAACATTGTGACAATCCACGCGATAAGAAAAACTTCGTCGTTGCCAAACACTTTGAAGACACTGCTCCTGAATCTTGCTGTCTCTGACATCGCTGTTGGTTTACTTGTTCAGCCATTTTACACCTCCCTTCTGGTTAAGTGGTTACAGAAAAATCATCCTAGCTGCAACACATATATGGTTTTCGTAATTACCACTTCATCGTTTTACCAAGCTTCGTTCTTTGGTGTTGTGGCCCTCAGTTTAGACAGGTTCTTGGCAATTCATCTTCATCTCAGATATCAGGAACTTGTGACTCACAAGCGTGTTGTTGCTGTGGTGGTCTCAATATGGCTTCTTAGTGTATTTCTTCCGTTGATGATGGTCTGGGCTCCGCTCTCGGTCGATATTTTTCTACTTATTAAGTTTACTCTAGGAGTTATTGGCCTCCTTCTTACAACAGTAATTTATATCAGAATTTATTTCGCTGTGCGACGCCTCAAGAATCATTTTCAGGCCCTGCAAGTACAACAAGTAGCAGAGAATAGCGAAATTGCAAATTTTGCACGCCTTGTTAAATCTGCAGTCGGCATATTCTACGTTTATATTACAGTATTGGTTTGTTATGCACCTCACTTTATCAGTTTGGTGTCCCTTAAAATCAATGGCCCGACTATCGCTTTACATAGGTTTTTTCTTTTGTCACTGGTTCTTGTATTCCTTAATTCATCTTTAAATCCAGTAATTTACTGTTGGAAGATGAGACACATTCGACAAACTCTGTTCAACATATTGCGAAACGTGTCTTGTCTCTGAACTCTCACGTCAATTGCAACAAAACTGTCAAATTATGAATTTGATCCGGGATACAAAATTCATTTAGATTCTTAGCCGATTCATGGTAGCTTTCCTGTTCAAAATAATAAACCAATGACAAAGATCTGAAATAAATTAAATCATAGAGACGTAGACTTAAACATTTTTTTTTGGTTGTGTAAATACAAAATTTCATTTCTGCTCGCCGTGTCCAGGACGAATTGCTTTTTTTAGTTACATTAAACGAAAGGGGAAGTTGAAAGGCGATATCCTTAGGTATTTACACGGGCTGCAATTATTATTAAATGTGCTTTGTTCGTGACAGTATATAGCTCTACCCGAATCACGTTCACGCCACATGACAAAGTTAATAAAAAGAAACACATGGGTTATTGACCATGCATGAAGTCAATGCGGCTTGATATTGGTCGAATTTCCTTTTCTGCGTGTTTATTGACCAAGCTGTAGACGAAAAATATTTACATAAGTTTTCCTACTAATGTAACTTCTCTTTGAAATTCAAAATTCGCTGGTTTTCAAACGAACGACTGGTCGACCTAAAAAGTTGTAAACATGTCATAAGCTTAACGAGGAGAAAAACTTGGGTGGCTTTTTAGCCTCGATGACGTCATGCGAGGACGATCTACGCCAACCTCGTTCCCAGGGTCCTATATCTACCTTTCCCGAGGAAACTCGATAGGACCCTGGAAACAAGGTAGACATTATACATAGGTAGTATTCAATAGGCCACTTTCGATATATTAAAATTTAGCTTGATAGTGAGGCCTAAAGGACACAGACAAAAGAAATGAACAAACATGGTCATTTCACTTCCTTTGTTTGTGTCCTCCAAGCCTCGCTGCCGTGCTGAATTTTAATGTATCGAAAGTGGTCTGTTACTAAAGGCCTGGCCTGGGTTGTTTGAAAAGCGGACAACGCTATCCACCCAATAAATCACTATCCGGCGGATACCGTGGTTTGTTTAAATTTTTTAACACTTATCCAGTTGATAGCGATTTGTCCAGTAGATAGCGTTATCCACCTTTCCAACAATCCGGGCCTGGGGACCGTTTCTCGAAAGTTCCGAACACTTTTCGTGCCCGCAAAGCCATTTTTAGGTAGTCGGTATCTAAAAACAGAGAAGTACATACGCCTGAAACTTCTTGTGTGAAAAGAACCTCTGTTCATGTTAAGAATATGTGAATAAAACAGCTTTGTAATCATAAAGTTTGAGAATTTGCTACGGCTTTCCGGCTACGAAAACCTTTCGGGACCTTCGAGAAACGGGCCTCAGCTAGGGCAGTATTTCAGGCAAATAAAAGAAACAAACATTTACATTCACCCGTTTACGATTGTTTTATGGCTTTATTCTTAACCAATAACCAGTTATAATATATAGTAACACTGAAATCTTTACAAGTCTTCTAAAACAATAAAGCATGAATCAAAAAACCCTTACTACAAAAGATAAGCTTTCTTTATGCGGCTACAACTACCTACAGTAGTACCAAACAAAGGCTTACAATAACTAAAACTGCGCATCTTAAAAAATTAGAATTTATGCCTCCGTTAACTGTGATGTTCACAAACAGTGCAGAAATGTGGAGTTTGTAAAACGGGAAATCCCTTATTTTTATGCAGAACTAAGATTTGGACGTTTTGAGCTCCAAGGCGTCTGGAACTGAATCTTCCCCAGAGGTTTCATGCTTTTAAACGTCTCCTCGCTATTTTCTGTATGTGGATGAGGTTCAAAGCCTAATATTACGAGTTCCTTTGAAAAGACTCTTTAGGAACTCACTTCAAGATTTACCTTGATGGTCTCTTTCTAACCTGTATATAATTAGAATCTCTGAGTGAAATCTGACCAGAAATTAAAAATGTGATCAGAATCCCCACTTAGGCCCCATCCACACTACCCAGGAGGAATTTGAAAACGGAGGCCTCACTCTGAAAACACATCAAATGTTCTCCGTCTACGCTACGCCGGAGGAAATTAAAAAGCGCAACAATCACCGGTCATTTTGGATTTGTGTTTGAGGAAAACGCGGTCAGGGAAATCACACGATTATCACGACTCCGTCGCTTACGAAAAGCTTCGTTTTCAAAATGTTTTCCGTCCACACGAAAACGAAAAGCCTTCGGTTTGAAGAACGTTTCTGAAAAGCTCCGTTTTCGTGACGTATTAGTGTGGATGGTTGGTCTAACCGTAGAAATTAAGCTGCGTTTTCAGATTTCTCTGGCGTAGTGTGGATGCTGCACTTACTTGCTGAATGTTCTGGAAACAAGACAAGATTTCACCTGCCTTTTTAAATACACAATGAAAATGACAAACAATGTCTGTACTCAAGTTAACCTTTGTGCTCTGAGCTGTTTTCATTTCATTGATGTGTTAAGAAAGAAAAACCATATCAACACAATACCCTCCGATAACACAGCAATTACATCAACGCTGGTATTTGATGTACTCGCAATGAACTCTAAAATGTCCCTTTTAACTCGTGATTGCGATAGCACGTTAGGAGTTGAAGTGGATGATCAGATTAGACCGACGCATCAGGTTCTCTGAAGAGTTAGCCAGAGAGAGATGTCTTCCGATGGTGCATGTTAATATAAATACTAAACACGTCCACTTTTAATACAATACAACATTTACCCGGGGTTGCAGAAGTCCCTAATTATTGCATAATATCAAATGGTGCAAATCGATTTAAGAACAAAACTCAAAACAGTAAACCCAACACTATCAATGGCTACATAATTGAAAAATTACGGGAACATTTTTGCCATCTGTAATAATAGCAATTAAATATTGACTGTTAGGATTTCTCATTTGCTACTGAGACGCATAACCTCTTCCAAGCGCCACCTGATAGTAATATTGGTATCTAAATCCTAAATATTTTGATGATAAAATGAAAATATACCATACCCCACTTTTTTGTTTGACTTAAAGGCTTAGCCAATACTTCTGGCAACTTGAAACCATGGCCACGGGACACATTCTCCATCAAAAAAGAGATGCTCACTTGGCCCAAATACTCAATGACAACGAACGATACTAAACTCCAATTTCGAGAGTTTCTTTTACATCTTTTTTGAAGGTTTTTGCTGCCATTTAAATACTTGAAATTAATTTAATTTATTCGTAGATTGGTCTTGGATCTTTGGCTAACAAATTCCTTTCCTTGGCAACACGGACGTGGTCTACAGTGCTTGTCTAATGCTTTTCTTACCAGTAATAATTGTAAACTGTAAATACTACATAACATGTAATTTGACCACTATTTGGTTTGGGCATTCTACTGACTTTGCAATAAATTCTAATGACTTTGTAATGTATATGGTACAAGGATGAAGCTGTGGTTGTGTCGGGGAGTTCATTTAATCTGCCGTTGAAGGACTTTCCTTCGTTGGGCTGACTTTTGGAGATGACTTTGTTGGGGTCACAGGTTTTGCTTCTTCATCTTCTTCATCTTGCACTTGCATGTGATACTTGTAGATTTTTTCTGTACTGTGTAGATTACCTGTTCAAATGAAGTATGTTTGTTTGTTAACACAACTGTCAGTTTGGATGAATGTTCCACTTTGTGGCTAAATATTGTTAAAACAATGTGTTCTTTGGGGTAGCGTGCGAACGCAGACGTATTTTCGGCTTTCGCTTGTCTCCACCGAAGACAAACGAAAGCCGGAAGTACGTCGGCGTTCGCAGGCTATCTGTGAGACACTCCACTGAGAATTTACAGGCTGTACAATTTATTCTATGCTGATCTTAGCGGACCAGGAACACAATCGAGTAAGACAGACTTACCAGATGTTAGATTGAACGTTCTTCCAATTGTCTTGGGTTCCTCAGGAAGAGGTGACAACCAGTTCACAAAAGAACCGACGAGTGGGACTTGTCGTAACAGACCCTTATGAAGACAAACACAATCTTACTCATGAGCAATGATCAAATTTACACAACAAACCTACGTGTTCAAAAGGTACAAAACTGGCTTTGAGGGCTTAAAACACTAGTCTTTTCTCGGATAATCACTTTACATTTCCACCGCAGCATGAGAGTGATACAACCAGTGACGTCACAAGGCTGTTTTGGCCGAGCCAAGATGGCCGCCAATTTAGGGCTCAACCAGCCAACTTCGAACGGCTGAAAAAGCAGTTTTCGCATACCGTTCGCGAAAAAAAGTTTACAGTGTTTTCAAGTAAGGTTCTTAAATAAGATGTTCAAATAGTAACACTCTTTCGAATCGTTAAAGAAGTCATTAAGATGCTAACCATAATGATTTTACAACGTTAAGACTGTGAATTCCTTAAGTTCAAATGGCAACCGTTAAATGTTGACTTTCATAATAACAGCAACACTAACAGGATGACACATCACACCCTAAACTGAAAAAAAATTAATACAAATTTCAGACATCATGATGTCCTTTGCCCATAACAGGCAATCTCCGCTCAAGGAACAAACTTGAACAGGACACATCATTTAACGTAATTCGTATATTAATATGACACCAAACTCCGTTTACCTCCTCCAAGAGTTTTTCCTCGGCATCTTTAACCATGTCCTGTTGAGCTGCTTCAATACCCTTCTGTATTGCATCTGCCATCTGCTCCAAATACTAAACAGTCGTATATGACATAAATGTTATTAGAAAACCGAAATAAACACAGTTATATAAATCGAAAGAAACGTTTTCGTGCACTAAAACACTGAAATTCAATGTGAAGAACGAGGTATATAAAAAAGCAATGTAGATGGCACATGCACTAGCTTATTTAGTTCGCAGGATCTTAAGACTTCATCAATTTCTGCTTTCGAATATCCGTTCGCAGTGGCACCCAGGCTCATTTTCAACCCAGGAAATTCAAGTCTCTTCCTGACTGTACATACCACATGAACTCTTACTGTTAAACCTATAACCACAATAAACTACACGTTTCAAAAGTCACACAATGATATACCTTGCTCGAGCTTTCAAGCTCAGTGGCTGCTTGACAAACAAAATCTACCACTGCATCAACCGACGATGTGGAAGCCACCTAGGGAAAAATAGCAGGAATAACTCAGGGCTAAATAACTATTTTACCATCCGACCGGACCTAATTCAGACACTACGTAATTTATGATACCACTTTAGTCTGATTGCGCTCAATTTGTTTGAATGTCGTGAAGACATCTTGCAGAATGTTCTGAATTGCGTACTACTGAGGGGTTGATGTGAGTGGGGTTGGATGACACCAGCTTATCCCGCCCTACACACACTAGCTTGCAGAATTGTCATCTGGGCCAGGTTGTTCAAAGCCCGATTAAGCTAACCCAAGGTTAGCGATAAATTTGATTTCAATTTTGTAACTTTTCGCTGAGGTTTTCTGTTTATATTGTTTGTTCTTCGGTTTTGAGTTTGAATAATCTCAAACTACACAAAACAGAAGTAGTGAAAAACATTTTGATACAAGAAAAATTAACTCTTCGGTTAACTTTTAATCCTGGGTTAGCGTTAACCGGCTTTTGAACAACTCGGCCCTGGTGGGAAATGAATTGGCACATTCTTTACTACTGGAAGGTTTTCAAATCAGGCTTTTCCACAAATATCATGTAAAATCGCCTGAATATCTCACCGGAAATTCTAAAAAAATCCAAATATCACAAAAATGTTTCCCAAATATCTCGGAAAAGCCCTTTGAATGTCTCTTATTTCTGTTTCAAAAATAAACCGATTTTGAATCACTTAGGCTGAGATTTTCAAACTTTTCTTGCAGTAGTAGGAATCGAGGAAGAAGATACTGGCACTTCGATGTTACCAACATCCGCCATTTTAAAAATAAAATTGCTGCTTTTAGCGGTTTTAGTGACGTGGAATACATTTTTCGAGTGGGAAATCACTGAACTGGCATAGATAGAGTATTGTACCAAGAAAATAGCGAGGAAAACACAGAGCTAAGCCCCTCAAAACTACGAATACTTCTAAATAGCCCTAAATTTCTAAATATCTTATTAAATAATATTTTCTTAATATCTCGGAAACTCCTAAAAATCCCCCCAAAATATCGGGATTTGTGAAAAGGCCAATTTCAAATGTTGTCAAGTGGTACACACCCATCCTGTCTCACTTTGTTTGTTGAAAATTTGTACTGTACCGGGGTTTTTCACGCATCACGCGGGGACATCATGGTGCTCAGGAACTTTCTCACGAAAGCCGCTCAACTGTCAAGCTTCACCGTTTACATTTCATATTGTTGTAACTTCCAACTTAAACAAGTTTTCTGATTGGAGGAGAACGTGTCACGTGTCACGGGTCAAAACTCACTAACTCCCAAGGCAAACAACAAATTAAACTTTGGACTTGCACGTGATCAGGACGTGCACCTTGAAACCGCGGCAAATTTGAATGCCAGCCGGCGTCAAGCAAATATGTTTTCTCGCAGTTTGCTCTATTTTTGAGTTGGGAAGTATAACAAAACACTTATTGACTGGCCCCAAGTAAAACAGTCAGTTTTGTTTCCCCAAGACTCTCGATGTTCCCCGAGGCGAAGCCAAGCGGAACATTGAGGGTCTCGGGGAAACAAAACTCACTGTTTCTCCTGGGGCCATTTAATTAAGTGTTTATTTATACACGCTTGAGATTCACCTGCAAAGTTGTGGTCAGGAAATTGTTTGCTGATACAATGTCCACAAAGAAATCTTTTGGAATTTCCAGAACTTGAAAGTGCAAGACACCTAGTCAAGAAAAATAATCACTGTGTTAGCCTAATAAAAAATGTTGCTAATATCAAATCAGCAATAGGTCAGAACAGTGTTCAGCTGGTCTGTTGCAATCCTTGGGATAAAAAAGATAGTGTGGTTTCTGTAGCATGAAGTGACTAGGATTCAATATTTCTACTTCCCCCCTGGATGCTAGTCCATCACTGGGTTACTCCCCAGCATTAAATTCACTGGTATCCATTTATACACCTGAGTGGAGAGAGGAACTGTGAGAGTACAGTGTCTTGCCTAGGAACACAACACAATGTCCCCGGCCAGGGCTCAAACCTGGACCACTTGATTCAGAGTCGAGTGCACCCACCGTGAGGCCACTGCCGTTCTTGGATAAAAAAGCCAGACGATTAATTGGTGTGGCAGTTACTAGACAACAGTTTCTGCTGCCTATTAAGAGCATTGCTACCCTTTCCCCAACCTCGCCCCAACTGAAACAAACCACTTGCATGTGAAATCCCACCAGCTACATGGGTTACTTTAATTCAGTTTTGTTTTTTTATGGCGATGCTTTCTATGTTCTGCAGTTTTTCAACTTGACTTATCTCAAACCCCACAAATTGTTCATAAATTGTACATGAGCATTAACCAGCTTTGAACATCCTGGCTGCTTGGAAGGAGAGAGAGATTGTTCAGGTAATATGCCTTGCCCAAGAACACACCACAACGACCCTGTTACTAGTACCTAGAACTGAGAGCCCAGAATGTGGGATTCATAGGGCCATACAGCACCTTAACAGACCACCACAATTTTTTTTTCCCCAATCAATAATTTTCTATCTGAAAATCATATTGTGCACAGAACCAGGAAATATCTACACATAACTGTTGGCTAAATTGGATACTTCCAGAGGGGTTGGAGACCCCAGACTTCCACAAGGTGGTATGGGTATTTAGTGGAAGACAAAATACATATAATATGGTAATGATTAGACAGTATTCCTAAAACTACCTATCAGAGCATCGAATATGTCACTATATGTTGACAAAGCTTCATCACAACTGCACAGCAGATTGAGGAGTTTTTTCCAGTGCTCAAATGCATCATACACTATCCAGAAAATGGAAAAAAAAAACAAACAAAAAAACAAAAAAAACAAAAAAAATGCAGATATATCAGTGGCAGATAGTAAGTGAGGCAGATAAGTGCAGTATATTGCTACATAGATTTAATATAAAAGAATATTAAAAATTAAGCATTGAATAATAGCAGTTCTAAAACATCACTTGTGTGAAAGATGTAGGTCATCAAAAATAGTGGGCGGGGTAGGCCCTTTAGGGAGTAATCTCCGGATTTCAAGTCTGACACCCTAACCACTCGGCAACATTAGGGAGGTTATTTAGGGGTATGCATGCATGCATCCATCTTCAGGAAAATTTGGAAAACCAAGAGATGCATTTTTAGGGCATAATTTTGTTAAGTGCGCTAGTGAAGATGGATGGCTCACAAATTAGTTACACCAGTTTTCTTTTCTTAAAAATCATATAAAGGAATTTTTTTATCTATTTCAATAAGACAAGAAATGCTTTTTAAATCATGCTTGGCTGACAATTTTGGCTGAATCAACTTTCTTCTAAAAAGTCCTGTAAAATTTGTGAGTTTGAAGAAAATGGGTGTTTTTATCAGCAAGGTTGCATAGGAGCTAAATATAATAATACTAATATTAAATTAAACACTTAATTGAACTAGGTTGTTTAGTCTGTATTGGAAAAATATTGGTGCTTTATTAGAGGTTGTACAAGCTATGGACCAATTAAAGAAAAGGCCCAAAAGGTTAAAAACAAAGTCATTTGTATTTTCCACTATGATTGCCATCTATACAATGCACCAGTACCTTGGCCTACTAAGAAACACACAAAGGCAAACTGCAGTTCAGCAAGAATTTCCTTCCTGTCTTGGATGAAAGAAGCACAAAGGAGACTAGTGGTCAATAGTGCAATTTGAATAATATCCAAGTCCTTGATATGATCTCCCTCCCTTACATAGGCTAGCTAAGCTGTTACATGGGCTACTTATGAGGTTGAGTGAAATTAAACCTTTGCTAATCACTGGAAGCTTGTAGTCTAGTCTATCAACTTTATTGGTCACAAAATTACAATATAACTAATTAATTATAATTAATTGTACAGTCTGAAAAGACATTCATGTGACCTAAACAATCTTTGGAATCATGCCCTTGTTTTCTATGAGTGATAGTCATCTTGGCTGCACCTCCAGGGTTGCCACACACTGGAACGACAACAAAAAAATCCCTGACTTTTCACTGGCTGTAAACAATTTTCACTGACCCTGCAGGATGACTATTCTGGCCATACATTAACAAATATAAGGATGGCTCAGATAATTTGCAAAACTTAAGATAAAATTCCCTGACTTTTCACTGACTTTGAACAGGGATTTAGAAACTCCGTGACCTTATACAAAACTCCCCAGGACTCTTCCCTGACCTTGAATAAAATCTAATTTTCCCTGACTGTGGCAACCCTGACCTCGTTAACTATTTGCTAATACAAAACTTGGGCTCATTTTCTAGTGTTTCATAATATGCAGGTCTGAGTTTTCTGTTCATGATTAGTCAATGGAACAGAGCCTAGAATTTTGGGGAACTAAAAATTCTGCAACTGAACTCAGCAGTCTGACCTATAATTAACAAAACTGGAGCAGACTCACTACATGTAAGTTCTCTTTTTTGTTGTGTATAAGATTTGTGGACTGCAGACTGCAGACTGGGTGTAGAATGTAGACTGAGAGTAAAATTAAGACTGTAGACTAGGGGTAAAATGCAGACGGCAGACTACAGACTTTTTACGTATATATCATGCTAGTTCCATTATTGAGTGCTAACCATAAACAGGGTTATTCTGGCTACTTGTTATGAAAGTCTGCACTCTGGTTAGCCTGAATATCACTCTGGTTAGCCTGAATATCACTCTGGTTAGCCTGAATAACCCTGTGGTTAGCCTGTGTACGGTTAGCTTTCAATGATGTAAATGGTAACACGATTTCAGTTGAAAAGTCTGCAGTCTGCATTTTACCCTCAGTCAGCATTTTAGCCCTGGTCTGCAGTCTGTTTTTTTAACTGATCGGTGTAAGATTCATGAAACAGCTCACCTTTCATGTGGTTTATTAAGCTATGGAGTGCATAACTACTGTCCATACTGTACTTGCTGATTTCCACAGGTGATGCACCATCTGGATATCTCTGCTTGGGAATCTCAGAAAATCTGATCAGAGTTTCTTGATTCCACGTAATTGAAGAAACAGTGTCCACAGATTCTGAAGTCTTACTCCTTGTGTGCAAAGATTCTTGCGCTAGTTCAGTAACAGATGATATCTTTTTGCATACAGGCTGAACTCTCTCTAGTAAATCTTTAGTTATATGGTTGGTCAGGGAGACCCATTTTTTAAAGTGTTCATAGGGATAAGGACCAAGGAAGGTGTCCATTTCTTGTAAACCTTAAAACAAAGTCCAGAAGCAGTTAATACATGTGTTCAACAATCAGTTTAAAATGAAAGTAAGGAAGGGTTGGATATCGCAGGATCCCCTTTTCTTTGGGTTTCCTTTGGTCATTCGATCACTGTGGGTTCCATTAAATTAATTTTTCTAAATTTAATATAAACTTCTGCTTTAAAATCTAACATCTAGGTATTAGGTGACATTTGGTATGTCGTGAGTTGTCCCAGCTGGGCGAGTCNTAAAAATTCCTCCGGCGTAGTGTGGACGGAAAACATTTGATGCGTTCTCAAAGTGAAAGCTACGTTTTCAAATTCCTCCTTTTGTAGTGTGGACGTGGCTTAAGGCCGCATCGGACACGGTGATCAGTTTCAAACTACTTTCATCTAGGTGACTACTATTTCATGTTTCAACCACGACTGGTGCGAACTCTTCAGGTTCACTTTCAAAATCCCAGTTGAATCGTTTGGTTAAATGCTGCCGGAATCGCAGTGCCTTCTCCACTAGCTTTTTGTCAACAGTTGTTGAAGACTCTACGTTGGAGAAAAAAACCTAGAAGAAGCAAACAGGCATGGAGTTAGTCCAGGGAAACAGAGAGCACAGTTGGGCAAAGTCGGGGAAAAAATGGCGAATAAGATAGAGTTGTCGCGTCAGTACGATGTTATGAAGGGTGCTTTCCATTTGTATGGGAAAACCGCTTTTCTGGTGGGAAACCAAATGAAACGTGCTTTCCGCTAGAACGTTTTGGGACAAACTTAAAATATCTTCATGCAGAGGTATTCCTCTTTTCTCGATTTTACCGGAATGATAGGAAAATCATTGTACCATTCGCTTTTTTACACTAATCCTATGCTCCTTGATGAAATACACAGTCGTTCTGGGCCGGGTTGTTCAAAGTCCGATTAAGCTAACCCAAGGTTAGCGATAATTTTGATTTCAATTTTGTAACTTTTCGCTGAGGTTTCTGTTTATATTGTTTGTTCTTCAGTTTTGAGTTTGAATAATCTCAAATTACACAAAACAGAAGCAGTGAAAAACATTTTGATACAAGAAAAATTAACTCTTCGGTTAACTTTTAATCCTGGGTTAGCGTTAACCAGCTTTTGAACAACTTGGCCCTGTAGGCTTGAATCACAGCATCAGCGCGGTTGTACGGTTTTTTTAAGTTTTCTTTACCCAGTGCTCTGATCATTTTACACTAATGCATCAACATGATTTTCAAATGATTACAGCGAGATTACTCAAACCGTTAACAGTTAACCTTCTTTTTTGCATTTTTTTAGTGACTATAGAACGAAGGCTCTTCATATTAGTAAGAGTATTTAGCCCTTTTACACGGAAAACTGCCAGTCTTGTACAATATACGAGAAGCCTTCATTCTAATCACCAAAAAGTGTACACAAAATGTGTTCATGATTCGCGTACCATCCACATTAATCCGTCTAGTGCCTACCTGTTCAATTATAATACAAGTCAGTCCATCCTGTGTTCGTCCCTTACTGAAAACATCTGGCATTCCTTCTGTTATCTTTGCCAACACTTCTTTGTTCCAGTCATTAAGTTCAACCTTCTTAGCCTCTCTAAGCTTGTCAAGTTCTTTGTTGGTCCAGTATCGCGGAACACACCTATTCAAATTTAAAGGAGCTACGTCACGGTTTGCGCATCTTAAAAACGTTTAGCCTAAATTTTTCATGTTCGTCGTTTGTAATCCGTGTCAATCTTCTCCATCCTAACCCATCCTTGTTTTTTTATGGTTTATTATTATCTCTTCAGTGCTTTTCTATCTTAGTAAACTATTATTTTCATGTTTCCTTCCATTTAAAGGTAATTTTTTAGGTCGCCAAAATAACTCAAAATAGTGACTGAGTTCCTGTAATAAGGCCTTGGGTTCTGAGTTGGTTACCTAAAGCAATTCTCTATTTTCCAATTGCCCATAATGCACTCTGTTTGCCCCCCAAGTTTTGCATAAACTATTGTTGCGAAAGGCTCTTGGGAATATGCAGATCTCCCAAGAGTATTTCACAACTTACAATAGTTTATGCAAAATATGGGGGGCAAACAGAGTGAATTATGGGCAATTGGAAAATAGAGAATTGTTGAGCTTGGAGTACCCCCCAGCTGAGGACAAATTTGATTGACAGCAGATGAATGAAAATCAAATTCTCCTTGGAAACAATGTGGTTTAGAAAAATATATGGAAACAGTACGTAGACATATAATTTTGACTCAAGAGACTAAAACCAAGCAAGCTTGTTCTACCAATAAACTAACGTTTGAAACACAAAATACATGAAAAAAAGAGCCGTGACACAAGTTTCCCGAGTTCTCCAAACAAGAATGCAGTCTATGAGCTTCTGTACTCTGAGGGGAAGCTCTACCACTGAGTCACACAAGCCCAGATGGAAATAAGTCATGTAGCTGTTGTACATTGTGCACTCTTGTTTGAGAACACCGAGTCCTTTCGTGGGTACCCAATATCTAATATCTACCTAATATCTTTCGCCACAGACTACTAGGTGGTTTGCAACCATTCCCGAGAGACTCAAATGACAAAAGACCCTGGCAGCCATGTTGGATGACATGAACAATATAGCTCATTAGAATTCTTTTGTTGATGGTTATCCAACATGGTGGCTATTGACGCCCTTCTCAGTGTAGCCTGCTACGCGGACGCTCTTGAGGCTCGTCACGCAATCTTCCTTGTTCGTGGAGAAGGAAGATTGCATGACGAGCCTAAAGAACGTCTGCGTTAAGAGGCTATTCTCAGTGTGTTTCAGCCAAAGATTAAACATCTAAAGATGTACTTACAGTAGAGCTCCAATGGTTGATGTGTCCTGGGTTTCTACAACCACAACATGTTCCTTGCCTTCCGTTGCTAACCTAAATTCCTCTTGAAACAGAAGGATGCCATCTAGTCTGGCCTATAGCAAAAACTTGTAGTTACTTAAATACAACCGAACGTAGGAAATTAGGTAGTAACTTCTATAAAAGACTTAATCATTTCTGATCCCTAGTTTGTTTAAAAGTAACATTTGTCATTTTGACTGAGTCATATTTCTTGATTTTATTAGCAAAAATCAGTCAATCTATCAATCAAACAGTCTTCATTTCTTGGTTTACATTTTTCAGTTGGACTGGCCTGCGGATAGCTAGTGCTAGTCTAGGCGGGCCAGTCATTCAAGATTTAGTTATAAATGTTTTTTCTATTAATAAATACAAAAACAAAGTTCGGAAAAAGTGAAAGTTAGCAAAAAGTGAAATTCAATGCAACTGAGAATGGTTGCATCACAAATGTTTGGAAACCTTCAAACTACACAATGTCTTCCTCTACTTAGAAAATATTGGAACTGCAATAAAGCATCTGATTGGTTGATTTGAGATATTGGTCCTCTGAGCTGTTCTGTCGTGTAATAAGTAGATTATTAACCTGTCAGTCATGTATGTTGCTGTTAGTATTACAAGTTCTTACCACTTCCTCTTTAAGACAAATTACAAAATCTTCTACATTTTCATTTGTGGTTCCGCAGACTGGAAAGAAGGAAAAAACCTGTTATACAGAGACAAACCTACAAAGTTTGTCCAAATTAAAATATTTTCTCAAGTTCGTCCAACACCAAATTTACAATAACAATAATTCTTACACCTTAAAGTGCCTATGAAATCATTTTTTAAACAGTAATAGAGACAATTGGGTGCCGAAACTTAAAAAAATAGAGGCAAAATTAATTTTAAAAGCGTAAATTAGAAATCTCAGGGTCTCAAACATCCCAAATTTGCCATATGTAAAGGGGAAACATTTTCAGGAAACTAGATACGAGTTTGTTTCCTTTCGATGTCACAAAGTTTACCNGTCTTGCCTTAGTTAAAACAGGCTCTTCATTACACTGTTAGACTAAACTTGCACTTTACTTTAAGCAAGAGAAAACTATCAAGGGTTCAGTTCAGACACCGAGCTTCTGCCATGCCTAACCAAAATTCAGAAATTAAGTTCGACAAAAGAACGGCAGAATTTCGGCGATTAAAAATTTCAAACTTTTGAATTGAGTTACATGTAAGCAAGCAATTAAGTTCAACAAGCTCTGCTGTGCTACTCAGTTGGTAGAGCGCCAGTCTGCTGTGCGGGAAGTCGAGGGTTCAAGCCTCAGACCAGGCCAACACTCAGGGTCTTAAAATAACTGAGGAGAATGTGCTGCCTTTCTAATTACATCTGCAAATGGTTAGACGTTCAAGTCTTCTCGGATAAGGACTATAAACAGTGGGCCCAGTATCCTGCATCTTCAGTGTTACATGTTTAGCAGGATACATTAAAGAACCCACACACTTATCAAAAGAGTAAGGCACATAGTTCCCGGTGTGGTCTGGCCTTGTCTTAGGGGTTGATACTTTTGCAATTATAGGCCATAAAATGGGATAAATAGTCACTACAACCTTTCAATAATATAACCTTACCTTGCTCGTCATCTTGATCTGAACCTTCCTCCTGCTCTGTATCAAGGATGGCAGATCCATTCACAGACACAGGGGCTGCTTTGTATTTGAACACCACCATGGGGGACATACAGTGTGGCTGGGCCTGTAAATGTTTCTAAGTCAAAAACGAGCTCCAGCGCTTAAAGCTAAAATTAAGGGTGTTTGTAACAAGTTGTATTGTTGCTTTGGTAACCTGTTATATAAANTTGCACTTTACTTTAAGCAAGAGAAAACTATCAAGGGTTCAGTTCAGACACCGAGCTTCTGCCATGCCTAACCAAAATTCAGAAATTAAGTTCGACAAAAGAACGGCAGAATTTCGGCGATTAAAAATTTCAAACTTTTGAATTGAGTTACATGTAAGCAAGCAATTAAGTTCAACAAGCTCTGCTGTGCTACTCAGTTGGTAGAGCGCCAGTCTGCTGTGCGGGAAGTCGAGGGTTCAAGCCTCAGACCAGGCCAACACTCAGGGTCTTAAAATAACTGAGGAGAATGTGCTGCCTTTCTAATTACATCTGCAAATGGTTAGACGTTCAAGTCTTCTCGGATAAGGACTATAAACAGTGGGCCCAGTATCCTGCATCTTCAGTGTTACATGTTTAGCAGGATACATTAAAGAACCCACACACTTATCAAAAGAGTAAGGCACATAGTTCCCGGTGTGGTCTGGCCTTGTCTTAGGGGTTGATACTTTTGCAATTATAGGCCATAAAATGGGATAAATAGTCACTACAACCTTTCAATAATATAACCTTACCTTGCTCGTCATCTTGATCTGAACCTTCCTCCTGCTCTGTATCAAGGATGGCAGATCCATTCACAGACACAGGGGCTGCTTTGTATTTGAACACCACCATGGGGGACATACAGTGTGGCTGGGCCTGTAAATGTTTCTAAGTCAAAAACGAGCTCCAGCGCTTAAAGCTAAAATTAAGGGTGTTTGTAACAAGTTGTATTGTTGCTTTGGTAACCTGTTATATAAAGAGGATGCCTGCAACTTGTTTACCAATGAGTGGGCATTTGTGTGATACCATTATAAATTGTAGCATCGCTTGTTAAACATTCATCTGGTAGTGTTCACCCTTCAAAGTATAGCCGTGAGAAAAGTGTTGGAAAATGTTGCCAGCCTCCTGAAGTCTTTACAACTTACACATATAGTTGATAATCATTCTTGTGATGTTGCTCAGGCTGGTGGTTCCAACTTATATAAACCGGATGAAACCCTAGTGTACTGCACGAGGTAGAGCTAAGTTTTGAGTGTATGGATGAAACCATTTAATGATACAGAAGTCTTAGAAACAGATGTACAGGATACTTACTATTCTCTTCACAGCAGCTTGCATTCCATCCAAGCTTACACACAACTGTTGAGACTAGAGGATAAGACAAAAACACATGAAAAAATGTCATGCTCATTTGGAAATAGCTGTCTGCTTCTATAAATGGCTAGCCATTTTAGGAAAAGGAATCAAAATATCTTCCCAGACCTGTGCTGCTCCCCTAACTGATAGTCCCCGGGCCTCTGCATATTCTGGAATGGCAAAGTCTGTACTACAATCAACTCAACCTAATGATGTTTGGCCCTTGCAACTATTAAGGCAGGCCAGAATAACTATTTCAAAGAGAGAAGCTTGTTGCATTAAGCCTTGATCCAGAGAATATATAAAGTCATACTTACCAGCTGAGCTGCATGTAAAATCATTTCTCGCATTTTATCTAGACCTGCATTCAGAAGGATATAAAAGATAGTGTAAGCAGATGTTTGTAACAAACCCCGTGAAAGACAACCATTAGGGTTGAGAAGTAGTTGGTTAACTCCACAGAAACTGAGATAAGCGTCAGCAGTATGATACAATCTAGCATGACAGAGACTTTATGTCTGATGTGCTGAGATAGCATTTTCAGCATGCTCAGACAAGACATTGCTTTGATGTTGGTAGCTTCAGCAAATGTACATATTAATAATATAAAGATTGTGGTTGCGGGTATAATATTCCTGGCCATGCTCTTACATGAACTGCCTAAGGCCAGGCTGGAAACCACTGTCCCAGCCACACAAACAGTTTTTTTAGTGCATTGCAGGTCTTAAGAACTATTTCATTAACACAGTAAAGTACTCACCAATAGTCTGAATACTAATCCAAAGAGGAAGTACTGACAGCCTATCAGGTTCATGGTTTTGACTGAGTCCTGATGCCTCTGCCTGAAAAACAAAGCAACAAATACCTGTAACTTACTTAGTCCCTAAAATATCAATTCTCCTTATTCATAGCCATACATTTATTTAAATGTTCATTCTAAGAATATGGAAGTCCATGAAGACCTTATCCCCTAGCCCACACAATATTATTTCTCCAATACTCTTTTCACCGTTCTGGTCGATGGTTGGTATTGTGTTGTTTCAAATATATCCATATTCTATTCCCCCCTGGATGGGATGCTAGTCCATTGCAGTGTTACCCCCCAGTTCACCAGTACTCCTTTATACTTGGTGAAGAGAGACACTGTGAGAGTAAAGTGTCTTGCCCAAGACCACAACACAATGTCCCCAGCAAGGGCTCGAGCCTGGACAGCTTGCTCCTGAGGTGAATGCCTTGACCATAAGGCCACTGTGCCTCTGCATGGCCCCTACCTAGAGTCATCTTAAACATTTGGCTTTTAAAACCCCCTCCCTCTGAGAATTTCCGATGACTTTCCTTGGGGTGGGTATGGTTATTTCCTGGAGTTATCCATTGTCAAAGTCTAAGATCTAGAGTCACCTTGGGTCTATTATACATGCACATACTTAGATGAATCTGATCCATACATGTGAGGTACCTGGATACCAGATGAGGAAAGTTCATTGCATTGGGAATAGGTTCTTGGGAAAGCATTATGTACTGGAGTGGCAGACAGACAAGAACAACGAATAGAAAAATGGTACATATGGAGGAGTCGAGACAAGGTACATGGTTTGGCACTGTATATTTTTTTGGACAAGAGCAGACAGTCTTTACAAGGTAAAAATACAAAAGCAGGCCTGAGAATGTTAAAGGGCTACACAAAGATGCTGAACTGTGAGTGCCAGCCAGGGAAGATGGTCAGTAATGTTAGAGAGACAGTTGTAAACATTGAGATTGATTACAAAGTTGGACCATTCATCTAATGGTTATATACAAGGTAGTTACATGCATCTTATCTTACAGTTTGTAGCAAATTAAATAATGAAATAAAGTACTTACCAAAACTAAATCTTTAGCTCTGTAGAATGTCTAGGTTTTCAAATTAAGGGAAATTGTCAATTTTAGCATCTGGCCATTTTAATTTTTATAAACCCCTGTTTAAAATTACAGAGCAGACAAATGATGCCCTTGTATGAAATGACAAGACCTTGATCAATTTTGTTCCCATTTGATGTGATGTCTGCAGGGGTTTTGAACACTAGGTTTTTGGCAGAAAAGGCAATTGGTTTTCACAGGAAGGCAAGACGTCTTGAACTGGACACCTTTAGAAGAAACAATTTATTTGAGATGGTCAATTTAGGCAGGTAAGTTTGCCATTGCCTGGCCTTTTATGAAACCCGTGTATGGATTGATCAAATAGCTAAGTTCTAAAATAAAATCATATATTAAATAAAATAAAGTACTGTCTTCTCAAAATACATTTTCTAGTGTACACTGGATTTCTTGTATATAACCGATGTAAGATTCTCTTTGAGAGTCAGTGGCCAGTTGGAAACTCCTACTGGCTACTTCAAGCTACTTCATCTGATTTTTCCATCTGACATGTATTTCCTTCAAAATTGAGAACAGTGGACTTTAAATTGAACAAAACTGCATCGGCCACTGCCTTTGCAATTTCTGCCTGGAGATGATGCAACAAAGGGATGTACAGCCTCCTTTGTTGGCCTCACAACAGAGCTATAGTTCAATTATTTAGCATTATACATGTAGCATTTGACTGATGAAAACTTTAATAACAGGAATGCTGGGTAACTATAACCAAAGGATACACAGTAGGGTGCACTGGGCAAGGCAAACCACTTGCTGATATTCAGGCTCATACTGTCACAGGCAGGAGCACTCTGAAGGAGATCAAGATTATGTTTTAAAACTAAATTATATAAATCTGTAGTAATAAATGGCTATGATATAACGTTATCTGGTAATAATTAGAGGCCAGTAGTAACTGTTGACAAAAACTGTCATCTATACTGAATTCTTGTTATTTATAACACAGTGAAGACAAGAGGTCAGTCAAAGTGTGTGAGGTTCATCATTTTGTGCATCCTTGTGTGGTATACAGTTTGATGTAAAGTTGTTATTGATAGTAATTAGTATTATATCATTATTCTTGTGATGGTATTTGGTCATTAAAGTGCATCAGAATTTCAGGTCTTATCTGAAATCAAACTGCCATTAAGGCATTCATTACTCGTGATTCAGAGTAACACTTGATCAGTTTGGAATGTAACCTTATTTACAACTATAATGACGACTGATCCTTGTGAGAGTAACATTGATGTGGGTAACATTGATGTTCACATCACTAAAAGAACAACACAGCATTTGCCCAACTCAGTGACACCCAGGCCTAAGGGGCACACTACAGAAAACATTATTTTTAAAAATTTATTTTGTTCCTCACCGAGAGTGAAAACCTGACCGTTATGATTAGATAGTAAATTCCTTACTTACCTTTAAAGAAGCTGGAATTGTTTCAAGACATAGAGTCGCAAGAGTGTCCCTAAAAAGATGCACAACATTGCTGTCAGTTTATTATGAACAGTAAGACAACTAAATACATCACAAATTCTGGTTAAGCACAGGTTTTTAACTCAAACTTACGACACTGCATATGTCACAATATACATGTGTCACAATAATTGTCTAAGAAATGTACCTGATTATTAACACCACATTTTTATCAAGGGAAACATTATTTTTCTTTCAAAGATGCTACAGAGTATGTTTTCAGTGAAGAGAAAAAATGACCTTCATCAGTTAGTAATGTGGTGAAGGCTTCTAATGGTAAAACATTAAAGCCCTGACAATTTATTGCTTTAAAAGTCAAGTTGTTACCCTTCCAAATGAAGCCAGAGGCCATTCTGTGTGCAAAGCTCCCTTAATCGACTAAGGTTATCAGTATGTCCAGCTACTGGGGTTCCTGTGAAAATTACAAGAAAATGGGTACATCTTCAATGTCTTAACCACTGTGATTAAGGAGCTCAGAAAAGATAGACTGTTATAACTGAGTCACAGAGCCTATAACTAATTGCCTCATTACAAATCTGTAAGGCAGTTGGAAAAACCCTTGCAAAATAAGAAATCAACACAAAAGAGGAAAACAGTATTGTAACCCACTTTATCAGTGAAATTGCTTGCCTCTGATGGTTTTGACTTGACAAGAGACATGTGGTAAATTAATATGTCAGCTGGCAGACACAGCAAGTGCCTTTTTTCTGGACAATTGTCACAGAGTGAAAACGCGATGCCAAGAAAAGGGCTGTTACACAAATGTTTTTACATAATTACATACTGTAACTTAACAAACTGATCTAACACATACGAAAAATACTGTCTAATGTCTAATGTCACTGTTTTTACAACAGAGTTTATGAGACCATTATGAAACAGCTTTAATAGATGCATGCAAGTCAAGAGAAAGGCAGAGAGTCAGACATACCAGCATATGCAATGAGAAGGAGCGGTGTCTTGCCACAGGATACATCATCATTGAAAAGCCTCTCAAATGCAGCAATGTCCTGTCAATGGGGATTTTGAAACTTGATGAGCAACATTCCTCACAATACATTGACACCAAAAAACAACACCTTGTTCCCGCGATTAATTCAAATAACTAGTTTTGTTGAAAAATGTGGCTAAATGTAATTCAGGCTAAGGTAGATGCGAAACAAGATTGCTGGCCAGCAGTCTCCCTCAGAGTGAGTTCGGGGTGGCCAGGGGATTTGTGCAGGGGCTCCTGCATTTTACAGCTCAGCTTCAGATGTCAAATCATTCCATGTGTTTTTCGCTGCTGAACAGTGCTCATTGAGCTTTTCTCCCAACGCACCCATTCCCTTTGGATTGAGGGTAAGTATGTGGTAAGTATCCTGTGTTTCCACTGTTTCTTCAGTGTGATGGTGCCTGGTGGTTGCCGCTCAAAGGGTTGTCATGGATACCCTATGCGCTCAGTTCAGTTTGCTCTCGGGCTCCATCCTTTCATGTACCATTCCCCAAGCTCATTGTTTGTTAACGAGTTTAACCTAGTACCATAGTTGCAAGCAAGTGTCTGTGGAAATTATAAATTATCTTGGATTTTCAAATAAAAAAAGCATTAATGCACAGCAGGAGGAACCTTGAGAAGTCCTACATTGGTTTAGTTAGATTACTGGCATTGAAGAACATATTCATCCGACTCACCATTGTATGTGTTGAACCAAAAACTGTGTTGCATGGCACTAGAGAATACAAACAAATTAATGTAATGAACTGGGAACAATTTTGTGTATTCATGAGCAGTTATTCACTGTAAATGTCAGTAATAATTTCTACCAATTATTGTAATGTCACTAGTCAACATACAAAGTTCCTATCAGACAATATATTACTAGTTTTTGTGTTCGCTAGTGATATGCAGCCACTGCAAGTTTATATATTTCCACATTGCTAACAATGTAAAGAACGTATCTGCCCTACCTTTACAAACACTGGATTGCGGCAAACCAAGCTAGTAGAAAAGCAAATAAAATAATGATTATTTAGTACACTTACTTATTAGTGATGTTTAGAACTGAGTGGAGAACTGTTTTAAAGTAAGCTTGAAGAAACTATTTCTGAAAACTAGCTGGTCCTTACATGTAGATCAAGTCCATCTAAGTGTAATTACCACCACAAAAAACTCACAGCTATTTTAGAGAACACATGTAAAAAAAGATGTAATATTGCTGTCATTGTTTAGTATAAGACAGAATATATTAAACAACTGATTATATATCTGCTCATGTTTCTACCTGAGTACACAAATAATGTCCTAGTGCATTGCATGCAGAGGAGCTCACATAGACAACAGGAGGTCTGCAAATAAAGATTTAAAGCAATAAAATGAATAGGAAATTCTTGCACAATGATTGGTCATCTGTTAGTCTGCCCACACACATTAAATTTTTTGCTCCAAGTTATTTTTGTGGGTGTGAAGGTAATGCGAGCATCCAAGAGCAAGTGCAGAGTGTGAGAGTGGCCACGAAGCAGAAGCAAAAAAATTAAATGTCTGTCACCTCCCCTGTCATTGCCTCGTCATTATTTTTTTTTTTCTATCAGTTTGATATGGCCCCTTATATTTTGACAGGAAATTAATTTGCAGGAAAGAAGTCATGAACCTGTCAGGAAAGACATGAACCAGAACAAACCTGCTGTGTAATCTTACATTTACTGTTTGCAGAACAAAGCATGAAATATTCAAGTAGAGTTTGGAAAACATTTTCATGTTTAAATAACATGACTACAGGTATAGATGCTTGAAATTAAAAGACTCCTCCATGGCAGCGAGTTTGTTTCCACATCAATTCATGTGAAGATCAACGGTGTGACATTATAGTCACATTCTGCAAATTGGGTGGCAAGCAAAGTTATATGAAGTGACAACAATTGCTTCATTAATTCAAAAATATTAAGGTTTTTTTTCACCTGGTATAGAGCGCTGTAAATCCTTCTGTTCCAAATTTGGGGTACTTTACTCTTAAGGCCAACCTGCAAACTAAAATTAATTTCTTCATTATCATCTTCAAGTATAAACTGTATTCAGTACTGTAGGTTCGCTTTTTGTCACTCGTGCTCGAGACCTCATGGCTAAATCTGCATCTCACTTTGCTTAAGGGATGACTAAGCGAAGGTCAACTTGTAGCAAGTCTCACTACAGAGTGTTAGTGAACAAACTTAGCAAAGTCCAAGTCGATTCTGTGGGCATTTCTCAGCCATATGTTCAGGTACATGTAAAGCAGGGGACAGAGATGCTATCAGTCTTACCTCGAACCAAACCATCCCACTGATGTTCATGGAAGCAGGACAAAGCATTTTCATACCTACAAATCAAAATACAACAATTGCGATTTTAATTTCTTTGAATTTCTGCAAGAAAGTCCTACTGGCTTCTGTCTATTCTGGGCCTAAATTGAACGTACATGTACCTTTCAACTAACTGCCGTAAAATACAATAAAAAAAAAAACAAATACTGAGCCTGTGGTCCTTGGTAGTTAAACATTGAATGTATTTTATATCTACTTGTAAAAGAGCTTTGCAGATCACACGATCGCATACTGAGGGATGGTCCATAGAAAAGAGTAACTAAAAGTGTCAAAAACTTCATACGGGAACAAAAGAATTCACTTTCCTACCAAATACATGGATTGACTACCAAGTATTTCTCTTACCCAAAGAGCTTGGATAACCAATGTGAGCAGTCGGACTTTATACATGCTGATAATTTTTTGATGTACGATTCATCCAACAGAGATAAGTATAACGACAAGGTCTTAGCAATGATGCTGGTATGAGTGTAATGATCTGGATTACAAGTGAACCTACAAACAAGAAACAATTAAATATCACTAATAACTAGATACATGTAGAGTAAGGTTTCCACACTGTTTTGAAGTACACTGGACATTATTCTGGCTTTATTATTAAAGAGGGAAGGTTACTTTTATTGTTTTTTATAATATAGATAGGAACCTGTGCGCTCTCTGATTGGTCAAAACCCCATGTTTTATCAGAGTATAAAACATAGAAAAAGCGTGTTTTATTGTTTTTCACCACATTACTTCTATATCATAAAGCAAATGAAGAAGCGTTAAGCTGTGTTTTAGACTGTGAAAAACACTCCGGACATTAAAATGAGAACACTCGCGAAATGTAGAAAACACTTACCTGTGGCTTGTGTTTTCTGCATGTCCCTCCTGTTCTCAAATGTCCGTCGTGTTTTATCACGGTGTAATAAACAGCTTAGGTTTCTTTATTTGTTAAAGAAAGAATTAGAAGAATAGCCCAGTAGAGTAGCCAGCCAGGATCATGAGGCAAATGTGTAGTTCCAGAAAATATCCATACCCCCCTCCCCCCCCACAGAGGGTCACGGAAATTCCGAGGGGTAGGGGGCTCTGAAAGAGGTAAATTTCCNGAAGGGGAGGGGGGCTACTCAAGGCGTTTTCTTTCCAGTGGGTCTGAAATGCAATTGAATGAACACTACCGTACTTTCCCAATTGATTCAGGTAACCAAACCAACAGAAATGTTCCATCCGTTGAGAAATAAATGTTAGATTCTTTATCATATATTTTCCATTTTTCCTCCAACGTCATACGACCGACAGCAATCCTGAGTATCATGTTTTTTGGACGTCAAGTTGAACAAAATGCCGACGAAGAGGTGCAGCAATACATGAACAATGAAGTTGATATTTTATACTTTGAAGATTGTGCTGTATTTAGTTTAAATGCAGCTCAGATGCTTTTTCCAGCATTAATCATGCCGTCAATTAAATGCGATTCGTACTTTGTTTATTTTGTTTGATACTCGTACAAAATTATTCCTCGTTTTGGACTTGCCGTAACTAGGTTATCACATACTTTTCATCGTTATCCGTGTAGTTAATAGTTTGCTTTAAGTGAGCAAAATCGATTCAAGGCCATTTGTCTTGAACTATATGTAAACGTGGACAGCGAGGAGCATTTGAGCAGTAGCCAAGATTTCATCCGCTCATTTATAGACTGACTGAACAATTCATGTTTCACATATGAAATGTATGACAATTCAAAAAAACTAAGGCACAAAATGAATTTACTATCATTTACAAACTACAGAGACAAAGCATATGACTTAATTTATGTATTCCTTTGGTGAAAGAAAAAATAAAGCGACATTTGGGAAACAGCTGTTTTGAAAAAAATGTTGCCTGACAACTTTACTGAGTGTGTAAAGTAATTTGATATGTTGTTTTGACCATGCATAAATTAAAACTTCGACTGAGTTATTTGAAAGAGCTTTATGTACGTTCCGAGATTCTTATATGAAAACTTCCTTTAATGAAGGAAAAGTCAGCTGCTATGCCATTTGGGAGTGAAGCGCTTCTAAGTCAGTTGTTTATTACTTTGAACACTGGTTCAAACATTTTAACATGACATGAAGGAACGCGCCGCATCTGCAGTCTACTGTGAAAAAGTACGTCTTTGTCTACAATGTAACTATAAACAGCTGCAGTTAAATTTTATTACAATTATTAATGAGTTAAGTCTTGGTTTTTATGGACACCAAATATCTGAGGGGTGGGGGGGGGGGCAAGTAGAAAAATCATGGAAATTCCAGGAGGTGGGGGGAGTACTGTGAAGCCCCCCTGGAACGGTAAATCCTGGGGGGATGGGGGTCAACCTGGAAATAAACTCTCCGTGGGGGGTATGGATATTTTCTGGAACCACACAATGGTGATTTTTTTTCCCAGCAGCATGTACTTATATCTCTTATTTTGCACTGTCCTACATGTTTTGCTTCAAAATTTAATGACAAATCCTCCAATCAGTTGAGTTTAGTAAGTCAAGTTCTGTTGAAAATTACAAGCAATCTGAACATGTATGGATAAATAAACAATAGGCCCCATTTGGTGCGAAAATATGCTAGGATATTTCTCTACAGCCATTACCCCTTCTGAGAAGCAAACAGTAACTGTTTTCCGAAAGCATAGCTTGAGGAAAACTGTGACCTTTGAGAAACAGATAATGTCCAAGCCAAGGAGAAATATCCAGACATGTGTTTGCACCAAATGGAGGCTATTGTATTTATTATCCCTCAAATATTTTTTGCAACACACAAAGTTTTGAAAATTGAGGAATATCACTTAGATATGACGCATTTAGACCAATCGCAAGCAAGCAAAAATATTTGATGGATTATAAGATATGAACACTTACTGTGTTTGTGGCATTTCATGATTCACTAAACTGGAGATCTGGGACAGGACGTTGCTTAGTTCTGTATTCCTGTATTTTAACAATAGACACAAAAAAGAAAAAAATTAAATAGTTGAAATCAATGGCACCCTTTTTGCTGCATGCGTATTACTGAATGAAGGGATACTTCAATGCAACACTATCTAATTGACAACTGATGCTTAATTATGAACATTGTTAACCATTCACCCAATGAAGATGCCTGAATCCAAAGTAATCAAACAACTTTGAACTTAACATATTAATTCAATAATCAATAAGTTTGCAATTATATACACACTATGGTTTATAATTATGATTGACATTTTGTCTCAGGCAGACATGATTCGTCACCTGTACCAGCAGTGGATAACAAAAGTAATTCAATTGGCACTGTCATTCTTTACTGTCTTATTCAGTTTGATGTAACAGTACGTGTAATTATTATTAATATCGCAAGGTAGTCTTGAGGTAAATTTGAGCATTCTGATTGGCTGTTTCTTGGTCAGGATTTTGCCATATGGACCATTTCCATGGAAACACTCATAAGCCCTCTATTTTTTTGGTTTTTGAGGGTGAGCAAATTAAAAACAGGCATGGCCTGAGTACCATATGTATAATTATATACAGCACTAACCTACTTACTAATCTAGCTTATTCGAGTCACACTGGGGAATACTGGCCCTCCATCGTTTTTGTGTGTTGAAGTGCAGCAAGTTCTGTACTACCACAACCTTAGGCCAATTTCCCTGTACGGCCCTCTCACTTGGTTAATAAGAGGTTATTAAATTCGCCCCCCAAGACCAAAAGCTTAGATACCAATATAGATCTCCAATAAACATCTCCCTTCCAGCTACATTTGCACCAAAGGGAAATTAGCCCCTAGGGTGCTAAAATGAATCATTCAGCAGATAGTTATGTTATGTTCATTCAGTGTTCTCCACCATTTGGGGCAGAACAGCCTGGTTAAATCAAGTTTAGGTCACAAATGCAGTTGACTCAAAAAAAAAAACAGGCTGATGTAGAAATTAATTAATCTCTGATGTAGATATCAAGAAATTAAAGTACTGAAAGTGTTACAGCTTCACACAACTTTTGACTAGGCCAAAAGTTTGACACTGGGTGGTGGAGCTTTTATTACTAGAGTGGATGTCATTATATAAAGCCAGGTGGCTTGCCCAGCCAGGGGTACACTGGATCAAACTGGAATAATTATTATTTGAAGAACATACTTTACAAAGAATCTTGTTCCTATGCAACCAGTTAATGTTAAAATTAAATGTATTTAGACTACAAGTACACCTACATGTATATTTCATGAAATAAATTACATAGTCACTCTTCTGTGTTTTAACTAGGAATATAATTTGAGGTTAAACTTTAAACTCATTTGAAGTAAAATTTGAAATCATCATTCTTGCATGTGAAAAGCCCAGCTTGAAAAACAAATACAGCTTGCAAAATAAATAAACTGTTAACTGTAAATTACAAGTAATGCCAAACCAAATTTGCACTTTAGCACAGGATAAGATGACATGAAGTACGAAAAAAGCATACAGCTGCCATCACGGAAGTATACAGAGTACCTCTACAATCATTTGGCTCAATTTGTGACTGTAAGCTGTACCATTTGATATCCAAGTAGCTATTTTCCTGCCCTCAGGCAGGCTTTCAGTTAAACAGTGGTGATGTTGAACCCAACAGTAGTTGTGCATACAATGTTTTTATAATGTCCAATGTTTTTTAAGGGGGTTGGAAGTCCCCTAAATACTTCTACATTTTTGATTACATGATAAAAGTTTAAATGATATTTTACCAGCCAATTGTCACATATTGTTGACTTATGTCCCACCGGGAATGAAAAGAATGAAGTACGTGTAAGTTACTCTTGCATTTTAGATGCAAGTCTCAGTCTCATGCTGACATAATCTCTTGCTATCTCACACATACAGGCCAATAACTCGCACCAAATGACTCACATAATTATAGGATTTTGTTATCTTTAAGATGACCAATTTGAGAGGAAAATGTAAAATTGCATGAATATTCCATGTAAATCAGGCACAGGTGTTGGAAATTAACCAAGTTTAAGGGAAATGACCTGGAAATGGGGTTGTTCATTGGTTACATCCAAACATCAGAAACATGAGAGTGTTTAGAAGATCTGTGGAAGTCTTAAGACATCTTTTGAAATCATCAGGACATTTTCTGAAGTTATATAAATTCCAAGATCTGTGCATCTCATGTACATGTATTCCAAAACAGGTATGGACTAATAGACTAATGCACTAGACCCATTAATCAAGAAGAAATTTGGAATGATGGATTCCTGATTCTTATTTTGGGAAGTGGGAGTGGCATTGCCTAGTGGTTAGGGTACTGGATTTGTAATACAGAAGTCCAAGTTCAAATCCTCCTCCCTTCTTCTCGACAGATTTGTGTCTGGGCACAAATTCAACACCTCTAAATTTTGCAAAGAGTCAACTGGCCAGCTTCCAAACAGTTGCCATTTTTAACAAGTTCTCAGTTGTATGTACAATATTTGATTCTCAATTATAGTGTCCCCAAATAGCACAGCAGTGCAAAATAGCATTGACTCTTTTAAACTGATTAACTTTTTTTTTTGGACACACACACATGTGTGTGTGTGCAGGCTAGATCAAAAATAGTAAGATTCATGTTCAAATAGTTTCAAATATGAATTTAAAGTTTATAAACAAAAAAATATGTACATCAAATAAAATACATACGACTGTGGTTCCACAGCATCTTCTGGAACATTTGTCTCTTTGTGGTCTTTGTCTCTGTTTAAAAACATGTCAAAAATATACCATTTATTTTAAGCTTAATTAAGCTTACCTAGTTTAAGCACACTCAAATTGCAACTTTTGAATTACCAAATCTTTCTTGTATTTGGTGGCGGTCAAACACTTGCAAACACAACTTTATGTGTCTAAACATCTATTTAATTAGATCAGCTTTATGGTGAGGGTAGAATTTTACGCATAAAGTCGCAAACTTACCGACTCAAATCAAACAGATACTTCACACACTTCAAAACATCTTTGAATATTTCCTGAAATATAATCAGAAGAAAAAAACACATTTGTACATGTAGTAACTGAACAACAAAAAAACTGCGTGACGTTGAGGATAAAAACACCAGAACCTGTTGTAAACTTTCCTGTAACATAATAAACAATGTTCAAAACAGCTGATTCAAAACAACATTCGTAATTTAACATGTAAACTTACAAGAAGGGAAAGTCTATTGACAGGATGTAAGAAGAGCGAAAAATCTAAAACGTACACGGAAAATATAAATTAAAAATAAAAAACTGTTAGCTTACCAGGTATTCTTTCTGTTCAACCGCACCATCGTCCGATAAACCTTTCATATCAGCTGTAAGAGGTTGTTTCTTCTCGCTCGCTGCCGGTGAGCTGTCGTCCGCCATTTTGATTTTCGTAATGAGAGCCACGCAGTCACTCGCAACGTCACTACTCCTACCCAGGCCTTCATCTCACAAGACACAACTGGCGCCAAATACGAAGGGAAGGAAGGTATCACTCTGAGATCAGTGTTATGTTACCTGTTACCTAGCTTCTTTGTGCCTCGTGGCACATAAGGCCTCCACAGAATCCCTCCAATTTTCTCTGTTGGCTGTAGCAGCTCTTGCCTCATCCCATGTAAGCCATCCTGCGCTGCTCCTCTCTCTCTCAACTGTTCTTCGCCAGGTGGTCTTAGGCCTTCCTCTCTTCCTTTTTCCTTCAGGTGTCCATGATAGGGCTATGTTGGTATGGCTGTTTCTGTTTTGTCGTAGGACATGCCCCATCATCTTCCATCTTCTCCTCTTAACCTCTTCACTAAGGAGATCAGTGTTATGCCCGGTTTTAATTTCAAACCAAGCATGTTGTGCTCTAGCGGATCTCCGTTTTCTCATTCGAAATTATTTACGTAACCCTTCAGTGAGGGAAGAAGTTCCTGTTAAGGGTTTTCCTGTCAATACTTGTAGTCTTCTCTTTCCACAAATAGGCCTATCCCGACTGTGCTCGTAAAATGCTGGAAAGTTGCTCACTGCAATGCCAAAAAGGTGCGAAAAAATTGCCAAAAATCCAAAAACTTGGTTCTAAATTTCAAAACTTGCCTTCTGAATCTCTTGATATTTTTATATAAACGTTAATTTAAAGCTTCATTTTTCGTTCTTCTCAATAATTGCTAACATCAGTCAGGAAAAATAGCTTGAAACCTAGCTTTAAAGAGTTGCTGGCAGATATGGGCGAAATTTAAGGACACTAACGGAGCAAAACCCATGGTTTAGTTGACGTCTTGCCTAACGTCAAGTGACAGTTTAAGTGTTCAAACTTCAAAACTGAGGTTGATAAACATTCAAGAAATTCGCATAAATTGAAGTTTTCTATGAAATCATTGACTTTTTCGTGCTTGATATGTGCTTTAAACCTATATTTTGCTCAAAAGTTGCTCGAGGTTGCTGGAACCGCAAAAAGTTGCTCCAAAGGTCAAAAGTTGCTTCAAAGGTTGCCGAGCAAAATTCGTCGGGATAGGCCTATCCACAAACCATAGCTGGTAGGGGAGACTTCAGGTTAGTCTCCTCTACCATGGTTGCATAAACTCCAGCGTTAGTAACGAGAAATTATACAATGTTGCATCACGCACTTATAATATTTGAAGTTGAAAAGAAGGGCATTTAAAAGTCCGTAGAATTTCTAGAGTTGGAAGTACAATACTCCAGCTCGGTGGACACTCATGCATTTCCTCTATTAAACAAAGCTTATAATTATATTCAAATAGCGGAGAAAGCTTCCGCTCATGACGAACTGAGATATAAAATTATTACGGTCCTAAAACATGATATGCCTAAAGCTATATTCAAAGTAACTTCAGTTAAATCGTATAACTGTTTGATACTGGTTGTAAGTAAAGGGTCCAGGTTTATGGCTTTGCCTTTTAAAAAAATGAAAAGATAACGCACGTCCTCCGGAACTGAAACAGACAGACATGCACCCTTTATTTAGGGTCGATTACAGTTCTTCAGCTTATGGAGTCGTGCAAAAACATTGTAAGACTAAAATCAAATCAAACTCTGTACAAAGTATACGCATAGTAGAGTCAGTTCATCTAAAATGCGTCGTTACAATTATTAGGGGGGAGCGGAGAGAGATCGACGCAATACGAGGGGGCAAGTAAAGTTGGGATATGCACCATCTCTGCTGATCAAACAAACTCTGATGATCTCCAGTTAGAAAGTTTCCGTGATGTTGCATCAGGCAACAACTGGGGAATTTTGTATCCTCGCTCCACGAATCTGTTACACGGCAATAGAGCGTTTCCACTCACGTGGCCAGCACCCATGCAAATTTGTTGAGAAAAGAGTTCAACTCCCACAGGACTGGTTTGGTACACCAACATCGCCGCCGTTTCATCGTTTTCCAACACCAATCAACCTCGTTCCCGGGCTCCTCTCAGAGAGAGGACCCTGGGAACGAGGATGAACACCAATACGGCTGCTATGACGTCATGTGAAAAACGCTAAAAAGCTCCCAAACGCTCGCTAGAGACGCAGTTTTGCGGGGCGTATTGTAGCCGTTGCGAAGAGATAAACGAATATGTACCGGACAACGTGATAGTTACTACAAGCAAGTAATACAGAACCGATAGATATTACTGTATTACTAACTTGGATTGGAAACAAAATTTTTTCCCGCCCGCCTGCTAAGCTAAACCCAAGAATTTGAACCTAAACGTAACCACGCGTTTCACCTGTATATTTCGTAGGAAAAAGTGTGCAAGGGAGGGGTAGGCAAGACAGAAAGCTAAATGGTAAAAAAAAGAATTAAATTTAGTTATCTGCAAAAATAACATCAGTGTGTTATCCTAAAATCCTGTTTCCTGTTACCGTGATATAACTACTTGATGCTAGCGTAAGTTATGTTTGCATGATAGTGAGCAAAATGTCTAGTAGTCTTAGCTCGTCCTTCCGCGACGACAACCAACAAACCATTTTATTTTGCCAGATTTACAAAAAGGGAAAAAAACAGCATAAAAACAATTAACTTAATTAGGCAAAAAGCTATTCAGAATACTGAAGAAAACTAAACAAGCTGAGTAGATAGAAAAATATAATATGCTTTACCTTGGCTGCAACAAGCGTAATGAAAGAGAAGAAGAAGGAAAAAAAGAAAAAAACACACAAAAAAAAACAAGACGTCACCATGCCCATTTGCGTGGATGTTTTTGTGTAGAATGGAATTGGGCGTAAAGCCCCTTAGGCTGTCCACGTGAGAGCAGCAGAATTTCTAGACACCCCTGGGATTCCCGAACCTAATAGTGATCTAAAAATAGCCTGAGAGGGATCACCTTGAGAATAAGGTCTATATAGGGATTAACTCTCTCACTCCTCATCTTCTCTTGCGCAAGGTCAACAACTGGGATATTCGCCTAAAATGTAATGATGAATACTTCCTAAATCCTTTATTCTCATTTCCGTTTTCGAGAAAAAGGTTTACTGCCTTTCTCTCCACTATCTGCACAAAACCGTTATGACATTACTGATCCAAACACTACACAGAATCAAGGTCACGCACAGTTGCGTGTAAACCTACTTAAGGTTACAGTATACCTTCAGGGGTGTCTCGCGCGCAGGCGATGTAGCGCGTGCAGTTTAAGCTGTAGATACCTAAACCCCTATATCAAATTA